TCTCTAGCTCTTGGCGTCGATGTTCGATGGGGATCGTATCGGACTCCTTTCGGACCATGGCAATGTTTCTCTGGCGATCTTCTTCAAATGGGCGATGACGTCTCGAGAACAGCAAGGTCTTGGGTTGTCATCCATTAATATCGATCGATGGTTATCAGAAATGTGGCACGCCGTTGGTATCCAGTACTTCTTGTTGATAACGTTGACCAATGAGTGTCCAAGGTACTGTGATGAGGTCCAACTTGCAGCCATACGAAACACAACCAGCACCATCACTTAGCCACGATCAAAGGGTCCATCTTGGATCTCCTGGTGATATGCCGCATTACGACGTCTGACTACTCGGCAACGACCGCCGGTAACGTGTTGACGATAGCGACGTTCATCAGACCTTCAACCCTACGCCATGTCCTCAAGTTGCTGTTTCCACGCCACACGCTTCTGTCTATGCCTCTCTGCGAGAATGGACATCTGATGGGAAGACGTTCCTCAGACCTTCAACCCTACGCCATTTGCTGTTTCCACGCCACACGCTGGCTTCTGTCTATGCCTCTCTGCGAGAAGGGACATCTGATGGGAAGACGTTCCTCAGACCAGCAGCCCGCAGCCTCCGTCTGATGGTACTGGTGGAGAGTCCAACTCTCCTTTGTCGGGGCAGTTCTTTCCGCATGGGTCATGGCACTGCGTCTTGTCGGACGAATTAGGGATAGGTCATCACGGTCATTTTCGGTATTCCAGGTCTTGGATGATCCACTTTATATCGCTTGTAGCCACGTCATACCTCACAAGTCGACTTATAACTGTGCGGTTAATGTTCTAGCTATAGTATGTGCGGTTAATGTTCTAGCTATAGTATGTGCGGTTGATGTTCTAGCTATAGTATGTGCGGTTAATGTTCTAGCTATAGTATGTGCGGTTAATGTTCTAGCTATAGTACGTGCGGTTAATGCTCTAGCTATATTACGTGCGGTTAATGCTCTAGCTATATTACGTGCGGTTAATGTTCTAGCTATAGTACGTGCGGCTAATGTTCTAGCTATAGTATGTGCGGTTAATGTTCTAGCTATGGTATGTGCGGTTAATGTTCTAGCTATAGTATGTGCGGTTAATGTTCTAGCTATAATACGTGAGGTTAATGTTCTAGCTATGTGCGGTTAATGTTCTTATATTTGGGAGCGGTCCAGCAAAATACTCTAAGCTAAAGTTCCATTATGGAAATAGTTTGATTGACATTGTAGATGATTACATTTATCTTGGGGTGAGTTTCAACAGAAACAGAAAATTGAATACAGCAATAAAACAAACTTTCAGACAGCGCATCTAAAGCTATGTTTTGCCTTTTGACAAAAATCAAGAAACTTTAATACACCAATAGATTGTTTAATCTATTATCATGTTGTTTTAACGTACCACTGGCCTCATGTTCTTATTACATATTCTTTCCTCAACATTGTTAAACGTGTTATACATGTTTTCTTTGAAAGTGCCCATGTATGTGTATATATATATCCCCCTTATACTCCCTACCAGAAGCTTGCTTTTCCTATGTTGTATTTATATTGTAAAACTATAATTTTACTTTCTGCCATCTTGCCTTTATGTATATGTATTGTAAAGGTTTTATCATGTTTCTCTTTTACCACCAAGAGTGTTTTTTTAGAATAAAAGAGTTTGAGATTTAGCTAGCACAGATGATGCGACAGGATATCCTAGGGTCATGTATAACTTGCCACCGAGGATTATCCGAAAGTGTATAACTTGTGTTGACATTTTGTTTGGTAATGTTGGTTTTTGAATCAGTTCAGAAAACTGTGGTGTTCATACTGCAGTGAAGAAATTTTGAATTTATAGACCTTTACAAGGGACATTATCTCAACTGCCAAGGAACATTATCTCAACTGCCGGGGAACATTATCTCAACTGTGTCGCTCTACTTCCCCTGCAGCACCTGTACGTAATGCTCTCTATCTACTTTTGAAGGTATATTTTATCTACTGTATATTCAATGGCTCACTTAGTCTGGTGCTCCCAATCTAATAAACCATTTAAATACAGCATGCTCTGATGGTATGATCAGGGGTTGCTTTATTATAACGGCTGTAACATGTATCCGTCTGAACGCAGTCGACCCCAACTCGGCTCCAGATGGATGACTTGGGGTGGGTTTGCGAGTGAGTTCTTTCGGTTTGTGTGCAGTTTGGGACGAGAGGTGCATCCGTACAATAGTTTGATTTTTTGAAAAATATTGGAGATTCAATTAGTAGCCCCGTCATTCAAACTTTTGTGGTGTTCCCCCGCCCTCACTACAACGTACAATAGTTTGATCCTTGTTTGCATAAAACCAGCTGTTGTAAAATTATATATCGCACTCCAATAATTCCTTTATGATATAGCTGCATCCGTACATGGATAAAATATGTGAAGCCCATTTGTGGTGTTCCCCCGCCCTCATATCGTGGGAATATTGCTAAAAGCGGCGTAAAACTTGATTTCCTCGTTTCCTTGCTATATGTATATTTCTGACTTGATTACCCCGTAACCTTGCCATATGTATATGACTTGATTACCTCGTAACCTTGACATATGTAAAATTATATATCTGACTTAATTATCACGTAACCTTGACATATGTATATATATATCTGACTTGATCACCTCGTAACCTTGACATATGTATATATATCTGACTTGATTACCTCGTAACCTTGACATATGTATATATATCTGACTTGATTACCTCGTAACCTTGACATATGTATATATATCTGACTTGATTACCTTCTAACCTTGACATATGTATATATTTCTGACTTTAATACCTTCTAACCTTGACATAGAAGAGACACTCATCTCAAGTTATAACTCATGGTCGTAACATATATGGCATGATGACAAACTTGAGCAGAATTTTTGAAGGTAGGTGGCCAAGTGGTTCCACTCCAGCGGTTCCAGTTTTTGCTTCAGAAATCAGTCGTTCATTAGCTGTGATATTTCTGAATGAGCGAGTGAGTTGGGTTTTACGTTTAGCAATATTCCAGCAACATCACGGGCTTCATACATTATACCCATATGGGGAATCGAACCCGAGCCTTTGGCGTGACGAGCGAAATGTTTAATCACTGGACTATCCCGCCGTCCCTATTTTTGAATGAACACGCCCACATCTAATCTGTGTTACAGCTCCTGGAGACAAAATTAAAGACCAAATCAAGTCCAGAATAATTGGGCAAGTCTAGAATGAAACAAATTAAGAATAGTTTTGGGCCTGTTTTGGGATATATATACTGAGAGAAATAAATAAAGGATCACAGGAAAATTCAAGCGTTCCTTTAATATTCATCATCAGCTTTGAACAGCGCTGTGATGATAAAAACTGGAAAATAATAAAGGAATGCTTGAATTTTCATGTGAGCCTTGATTTGTTTCTCTCAGTATATTTGGTTGTTTTGAGATATCTAATTAAATGAGACAACTTTATAGCACATAATTGTTTTTCCTAAGAACGATGAAGTTTTCAGCTCCCTGCTAAAGCGTGGGACGCGTCTTGCATGACTATTCTCACACATCACAACAAGCATCTCTCCAGCATAGGTGGTATTTACACCAATTAACGTCTTCTACTGTAGATACACATACCGAGAAGGCAACCCGTCACACCGGGAACGAATGAATGTAGTTTACCGCCGCGGCTAACAAGATTCTATAAATACCTCGGCGTACCTTGAACCTGTGTGGGGAAACAAGTCCGGGTTTGAGGCGTGACGAGCGACTGCTTCCATTGATAAAACACCCTAACCGAGCGCATTCAGGGGAGCACTCTTGCTGAAATTACATTAACGAGTTATAGAGATTGTTGAAGTACTTTATGGATGTTTTATCTGGCGCAGACACATGTCGTACGTCCACGGCTGTCAAACATGGTTCACGTCTTGACTGCTGAATGCATGCATACCTTGTTGATGATCGAGTCATATGTAGGCGTTGAGCGCATTTAGAAATATATTGAATGTAACTACACATAAATTACACATCGTATCGAGGGAAAATATATACATGTATGTAAACTTGCACCGATTACCACTTGATTACGTCGTTAATAGTATGCTTCGCGTAAAGACACATACCTCATCTCCGTGCAGTCGACCTGTATATATATATATATATATTCATGTCACAAAATGTTAAGTTCGGTTAGGTTTATCACGGTGCTAGTATTGCAGTTTTGTCCTGGCCTGTCTCGGTGTAAATGATAATTGGGTGTTTCACAGTACCAATATTTCGTTATATCACGAAGTCTTTGTGAATAACAGTATATCATTATTGCAGTGTTATCCAGGTTTGTCTACGAGTGAATAACAATCGGATTTATCACAAGACCATAGTTTTAGCTATATATAGGCAGTGAGGGAGAGACTTTAAGCACAGTTAATTATGATTTCTTCGACCCGAGTGTACATTTCTAAAATGGAGTTTTACTACTTCACATTTTTGTATTGTAAAGAACTATGCAGAATAATTCACCGAATATTTGAATGAGCATACATACATATATACACACACACATACACACATATATACACACACATATACACACACATACACACATAGTTTGCGCCTCTGAGGTTATCGAGCGGGCATGTTTATACAAAGTGTGAACACATGATTCATATAAAACTATCTCCATGGACAATGCCGTCCTACACAACGAGAGATTCTGGGTGACTCTTTTGTGAAGTACACCCAGTATACACCCAGCCATAATCATCACTTACCCTGGTATTCGGTATTATAACTACTTGAAACGCCATGGATGAACGAGCCAAAATTATCCAATATTCTATGCCCCATTTCCTTTCTATAGTAAAGACTGGGCGTGATCTAGAGCCATCATGCGAGAAGGAGAGTGTGAAGCTTCTACTGCTGTCGGCTTCTGCTTGTACACCCCACAACCGCTACAGCGTCTCTGATTACCAGAACTAATTCCAACCCTCTCTCCACAGACTTCCAGGATTATACCATATACCCTGATACAAGGAACACGGAACCATTCTCCGACCATCTCGCCAAGATGAGCCTACCAGGTGAGTGCTGACTATGCTGGTCACTGTGTTTGTTTAATGGGTGGCGCTGCCATTATACCCGCTTGTTTAATGGGTGGTGTTACCATTATTCCTATAAGCCCAGGGGTATATTTAAAGATGCCTATGGATGATTCAGAGTGGATATAACATTTGGTAGAGCTCCGAGGTCACATTCCGGCCACTACATTGGGTTCGGTGTGGTAAGTACCAGTTTATGGTGACTTTACAAAAATGTGTTTTATTTTTACTTAGCTGTTTTACTTAATGTCTTTGTTGCATCACAAAACGTATATCGCATAAATAAATGCATGCTTTAAATTTATATACGGACTTTAAAAATCTTTTTCGAGATAAATGTGTTTGATATTTGTTCCTGATGGTTGTAATTTTTATGACAGGAAACCCAGCTGTGATACAGTCATCTCGAGGTTTTAATTGAGTATTTAGATGCTAGATAACTTTAGTTATCATACATTAGATGAATCACATTTGAAGTTTACTTTTACGTCTTTTTAGAAACGCGCCATATATAGAAAAAAACCGTGTATAGAATTCAAAAGAATTCACATCTGCTTTGTAACAAACATCTTTTGTGCAAATTGTGTGAGTAGTTGACGCTGCCGGTAGAACGGGTTAAGCGTTGCCCATTATCGATCGGCACTGATTTTTAGTGATCCATCCTTGATGATCGAAGTTTGCAATTAGGAGCTGACATTTCACATTTAGCATGTGGAAGTGTGTGTTCTGTCTGAAATGTTAATAGTCGTTTTGAGTCACGTATTATGATAATTGCTATAGCACACCTTGCAACTACACGTACAGAATGTTGTCACTAGTTTTCGAAACCCATAGTCTCCACGATTTTAATCCTTTTGATCTCAGCATCACCTCGAACCTTATAGGTTTAGCCAATAGTGTCTGTAACAAGTGTCACTGACTTATTGAAACATACACACTCACTCACACACAAACAAACGAACCAGTTATTTGTTTGCTTGTAATGCCGCACTCAGCAATATTCGACCCCGTTTATCGCCTCTCACGACACGCATGGGCTTCTGGAGACAATTCTAGCCCGGATCGTCACGGGTCAAATGAATTAAGGCAAGAGTCAAGCAAGTCGGCACTGAGGTTTAAACGGCGCTGACATATATTTAGGGGCTGTCAATTCCTTAGCCATGTGCATATATGATTCATGTTTTCAATGGACAGTTACTTGAAGAAACTGATTTTCATTTAAATAAGTCAATACATACACAGATATATAGGATCCCATCTAGTCAGCAGTAACTGGTAAATCTATGTCAAATCATAAGGTGATACAAGAAAGTAAGGCAATAGGAAACGCCCCCTCATTTTTAATCTCCGGTAAGTAAGCATGACCTCAAGCTAATGGCTCCCCTGTTCATGAGGTTCAGTGATGATACTGATGCGATGTCAGATGCCGGCGGAGTCAAATGGACCAAGGTTCAATGAGCACGTCAGTACTGGAACATTACTCTGTGTTGCCGTGGTATATCTTATGTTCCCGGGCGGTGCGGCAGTCTAGTGGTTGAAACATTCGCTCGTCACGACCCGGGTTCGATTCCCCACATGGGTACAATGTGTGAAGCCCAGGTATTGGATGTGATCAGGGCGGTCGGGTAGCCTAGTGGTTAAAGCGTTCGTTCGTAGCCCCGAAGACCCGGGTTCGATTCCCAAAATGGGTAAATGCGTGAAGCTCATTTCTGGTGTCCCCAGCCGTGATATTGCTGGAATATTGCTAAAAGCAGCGTAAAACTAAACTCACCCACTTATATTTAACCACAGCTTCATGAACTCTGGGTGTCTTATGTGAATGTGGCTAGGGGTGGGATGATTGCTGATTGGGGATGGAATGATTGGATGTTGAGGCTAGAAATGAGATTTTCGTTTGAGATACACACTTATTTCCTCGAAACAGTTTATTTTACACTCGTAATAGATAATTTTTCAGAACCTACAGAATTTCATGGGAACGATATTTTTTTACATCAAATTTTCACCATCATATTTGGAAAAGTGCATTTGAAGTGAAGCATTAAAGGATTTTTAAAAAGGTCATTACACATTGTTTATATTCGCTCTTAATCAACCCCTAGGTATATATAATATACACAAAATACGGTTAGAAACAGTAATATTGCATTATACAGCTTGTATCAGGAATCTAAAACGCACCTCCCTCGAAAGCATTTCGCGATTTCGCAAGATAATGAGGTAGACGGTCACGTGATCGTGTGACGTCATACCGGATTTTTGTCATAAATGGATGGTGCAGATGTGGTATATATTCATGTTTGAATGGCATTATGTAATAAAAATACATTATGTTAAACCTTTTTAAAAATCCTTTAAGGTAAATGCTGCTTCAAACATTGGGCCGCCTCCTTGGCCTAATGGTCTCTGTCCAATGAGGTTCGATTCCCGACCATGTCATATCAAAAGACGTTAAAAGATTGTAGTTAATAATAATAATAACTTGGAGTTGGGCATTAGGGGGATTAAACAAGATCTGGTGTGCTGGGGCCTGAGTGAAGGCATTCGCACAGTCGTTAACGCATGCACATGCCGTACGCGTTACAGATTTGAACGCGACCTTTAACCCCATTTCACCTCACAAGGAATGGATACATGAATGTCTTCGTGCACGCTAAAATACAATATTTCGTGGATAGGTATACAATGTGTGTTAGATGTATAATGTACACAATACCCCGGTGGCTCTATATTACTAGTAGCAGTACAATTATATATGCACATGGCGCTGTTGTATAATAGAAGCGACAAAACCATGTCCATGCTAAAAACAGAGTTGATTGTTCAATTGTGACTATATCATGAGCATATATTTGTTTCAACAGTATTGCAGCTGTACGATGTTGTTTGTAAACAAATCGAGTCTCGACTAGACAATCCAGTTATTGTTACCATGCGACACGATGGCAGAACATGTGTTTATGAATCACTATGAAATAGTGATGCTATCAGGTGTTTGCGAAAAGGTGAGCGGATCCTGCCCCATCGGTGGCACCCGTCATTAACATATGCTACGTCAAGTCAATTGTGCACTTGAAGTAATTCGGGAACATATGGCATAAATCAAAATAGGGAGTTGCATCGGACATAATTTTTGTCACTGATGCATCAAATGAGGAAATATCAACGTCTTGAAAGCTTTAGTGAGGTCTTGAATGCTCTAGCGTTGATAGCGTTGATTAAACAACTTCTGCGTAAGAGTGGCTTGAGGCTTTTAATAACAACTTCTGCGTAAGAGTAATCTTAAAGCAACGGTCATTCTAAACCTTGGGGAGTTTGGGAGTTAGGACCATCTTACCGCACAGTCTGCTTCGTGCACCGGCACCTAACTGATCCATATCCTTTAAGATAACCAAACCGCTGGCATGGGGAACATCACATGATGACTTCCTGATTCGCCGTAAAGTAAGCTACACCAGTCATGGACATCGATAATAACAATGAGGAACACAATGGGAAATAGCTTACCGTTTATCTTGTTTGTCAACCGAACCTTCTTACAACCGAAGCCAGATCATTGCGCTTGGCAAGACGTTTTCCCCTTTGTACCTACACCAAGTCACAGACACCTAGGATATCTACTCCACATGCATTGCTCATGTTTATGGTTTAACCGTGTTCTAATTGTGAAGTGTGTGAGCTGTCTGGTATGCGTCAGTTTAAACCCCACTGCCACAGGACAGTGTTCACGTTGACGAAAGCATATCCGGTGGCATGTTCTGGCTTGACCTTGTCACAGCTGTGGTAGGTACATAGACGATGACACGTACTGGCTTGACCTTGTCACAGCTATGGTAGGTACATAGACGATGACACGTACTAGCTTGACCTTGTCACAGCAGTGGTAGATACATATACGATGACACGTACAGGCTTGACCTTGTCACAGCTATGGTAGGTACATATACGATGACACGTACTAGCTTGACCTTGTCACAGCTATGGTAGATACATATACGATGACACGTACTGGCTTGACCTTGTCACAGCAGTGGTAGATACATATACGATGACACGTACTGGCTTGACCTTGTCACAGCAGTGGTAGATACATATACGATGACACGTACTGGCTTGACCTTGTCACAGCAGTGGTAGATACATATACGATGACACGTACTGGCTTTGACCTTGTCACAGCAGTGGTAGATACATATACGATGACACGTACTGGCTTGACCTTGTTACAGTTATGGTAGGTACATAGACGATGACACGTACTGGCTTTTGAGCTTGTCACAGCAGTGGTAGATACATATACGAAGACACTTACTGGCTTTGACCTTGTCACAGCAATGGTAGATACATATACGATGACACGTACAGGCTTGACCTTGTCACAGCTATGGTAGGTACATATACGATGACACGTACTAGCTTGACCTTGTCACAGCAGTGGTAGATACATATACGATGACACGTACTGGCTTGACCTTGTCACAGCAGTGGTAGATACATATACGATGACACGTACTGGCTTGACCTTTGTCACAGCAGTGGTAGATACATATACGATGACACGTACTGGCTTGACCTTGTTACAGCTATGGTAGGTACATAGACGATGACACGTACTGGCTTGAGCTTGTCACAGCAGTGGTAGATACATATACGAAGACACTTACTGGCTTGACCTTGTCACAGCAATGGTAGATACATATACGATGACACGTACTGGCTTGACCTTGTCACAGCTATGGTAGGTACATATACGATGACACGTACTGGCTTGACCTTGTCACAGCTATGATAGGTACATATACGATGACACGTACTGGCTTGACCTTGTCACAGCAATGGTAGATACATATACGATGACACGTACTGGCTTGACCTTGTCACAGCAATGGTAGATACATATGACACGTACTGACACCTTACTGGCAATGGTGACCTATACGATGACACGTACTGGCCTTTGACCTTGTCGCAGCTATGGTAGG